CAAACTATTTGAATCTAAGTGTTAGTCTATATCGAATAAGTGCCATTACAGTGTTCATTATTATGTAAATAGAATTTTTACATAGATCAAAGAAATAACTCTTTACAGCGCTTGACAACAAAAGACGTGAATAACAAATAACAACAGACTATATGTAATTGGATAGCATAATGACCAACATACGTCTGTGAAAGTATTTTTATGTATCTACTCGATGACACTATCATTTAGGCATATAGGCCCCAATACGTTGCATAAAGACAGGCCCATAGTGCTCTGACATCATTTCTAGTGTGATTATGTCAAGTTTCAATTTATAAATTTTATTTTGATAGACTGCACTACAAATATAACAATTAACGATAATTTTAATTGCACATCAAATTCTACTATAAGATATTCTACATAGTCTCTGCACTAGCATGTTAATAATATTCATATAGCAATCACAATTCATATATTCATGTATATGGCAATTAAGAGTAATAACTTCTGATTGTTCATTTTAATTATAAATTTTTGCTGCTTTTTAAGAATATATATAAATTTATATAGTAAATAGTTATAGATGCGAATTTTGCATCTTTCACCATATAATTGTAATTTTTCATTTTCATAAGATAGACATAATATGGATATTCATTACAATGTCTGATTTACTTCTAATAAGAACTATGCAAACATAATGTTGTTCTTGAATTGCATGATCCAAAATACTCTCATGTATATATCATAAATACTCAAAAAGCCAGTGAGCGGTGAGACGAAAATTTCATTGAGGGTTTATTATATTCATTTTTTTTTATTCCCATTATATTTTGTTTTCGCTATCCACGTAATAATATTGTACAAATAAAATTATTAAAAGTACGTCGGATAAGCTGCCTCCAACATATACCTTTGCGAGATATTTGTGTTTCCTTATACTATAAAAGAGAACAATACGAGCTACAATGAGTACACTCTAATACTAACACATACTGCATCATCTAAGCTGTAGTAACCGCAATAGGCAAGAAATCGATCTAAGAAATTATCTGTGAATTTATTTTGACGACTCCACATAGACAAGTTTTACCAGGTCATTCGGACCAATAAGCTTTAATGATCATACGATTCATAGAACATTCTAATGATCAGATATATCAATGATTGAAAGCATAAAACAAAAATTGAACACGGTTTTGTTAAATTAGACTTTAACTCCTGATTAGTTATATAATACTAGTATAAATAATAGTTATAATAGTTATAAAAACATATTCTGATATATCCAAAATAAATTGTGTATTAAATAGAGCTCCGACATAAATCATTTTTATAGGAAACCACACTTAAGTCTCCATATGGAAAGTTTAGCATAAGAATTGTATAGCTTGTGACTCTACTTCTCCATCAAGTGCTATAACGTTTCTCTTTTTCAAGAATATCAGACGAATTGCAAACACTATTAACTGATATATCACATTAATTCAATATAAATAACTATTCTTCTAATTGATTTCATTATCCTTTATCAAACGCACACTTGTAGCTTAATGATTTAAGTGCTAGCGGTGTACCTAGAACCACTCGATTTGTAATTACTGCTGCTGCTACTCAATCCAACCCATTACTCCGAGATAGAATGATGTCCCCAACTCCTTTTCGTAATATATAGAACTATCTCTCTTGTTTTACGCAACTTTCAGTAATGAAGCTAAATAAATCATGCAACCTTTTGTCAGATGAGATGCGAGAACTGTTCATGCTGCTCACTCAGCTTTACTAATTATATGCCATCGTTCTCTCTTGATTATACTATTATCTCTGAGATACTATGATAGCATGCAGTGTCTTGTAAGGATATACTATCAGTTGGCTCGTGTCATATCTTTCATATAATATACGAACCATCTCTCAAATAAGAAGGGATTGTACCTGATACCTTCTTTCAGTCAGGAATATCCTACTTTAATTAAGACTGCTTAACATGATAAAGCATACGATAGAGATACTATTGAACATCTACTTAACATATCCACCAAAAAACAATATTTCGCTTGGTGGTCATCACAATATATTTCTTACTGGCATACTAAAAACACACTACGATAATGCTGCACTTCTGTTAGTTATGTACTTCCATTCAATAACATTATATGCTTTGATTACTTAATCATATTAATAACGATTTCCTTATAGTAGTTCTTATTTTTCTGAGTTCGAATGCGATTAATTTGAAAGATTTTTACAAATTGAGAAAACAACTAGTGAAAAGTGATATCTTAGTACAAAACAACAAATAATTTTCTTAAGTTAAGTCAAGTTTTAATCTATGTGTATATTAAGGCGCGATTATACTTCGGATCAAAATACCTTTAAGACATTCAACATGAGCATCTAAAAACGTAAATACTGGGGCTGTTGCCATTTTTGCCCCAATAAGACGAGCTCTGATCAACCCTTCATGTTGCGATGTACGTATCAGATGAGCTTTACTTATTTGTGATATGGTTGTTTCCAGTGACTTACCATCCTCAGCTGTAAAAAAAGAGATAGAATGGTTAGCTCACGGAGTGATGGTTTCCCTTTGCTACTAATGTAGCAAGACTGCAACTTTGTTTCGTTCATAAAGAAATGTTTCGGATAAAGATTAAGCGGAGAACGTTTACTGGAGTACAGACTAATGATGTACAAATGATGAAAGAATTAATACACCCATGGATCGACAATTACATTATATAGTTATGCTGAAAACAACAAGAAGCACCTTTACTCATTCGTGCTAAACTTACATTAACCCTAACAAGTGGGTATTTTTAACTGTTTAAATGTAAAAATATTAATATTGCTTTGGAATGACACAGTATACTGATGATATGTCCGGTAAATTCCGGGAATAGGTTGACGAATACCGGAAGCCAAGGTCGAACGAACCGCCTATGGCCGAAAAATCGTACAGATTTGAATTATCTTTTTTACAGTAATCAAATGATAACATGTTCAGTATTTTGTATACAATCTTCTTTATTTTTTCATGGATTAGACTCCGTTTCACTTTTACTGTCCGTTGAAATGTGCGTCCCAATTCATCATTTTGAATTATCACTTGAACCTTGTATTCAAAAAAAACTTACACGTTCATACTTGCTGTTTTCTTTTCAAGCACAGATGTTGCCTGTCTTTTAAAATAATGATTAGTCGATTTTACTATGGGAAAACTTACTTGGTAAATAATAAATTACATTGCGCCATTCTTCATTATCTAAAAGGACTGGAAAATATCTACTTGGCTAATAAAACTCAGTTTACCTAAAGTTGAAAAGTCGTCAACAAGAATTATTTCTTTCAGTAAGTAGTCCGGTGTCCTATTGATCACAGAAAATATAGAGCGTAGTAATACAGAACGTGCCTCGTTGTGAAAAACGATTATTACGCTGGTTTTTGTGGTTAGCATCTGCTGGTGCCGAGGATTTAAACGTCATAGGCTATCTGCTTACAGCTGAAAAAAACATTGCACGCACATGTTTATTTTTCCGAAATTCTACCACACATCTGTAAGCAGGATTTGATAAACCTTACAAAGATGTGCGACTTCAAGATGTAAATGTTGTTTTTGTTTGTTTTAATTTGATTTTTTTTGTTTGTTTTTTTTTTTTTTTTTTTTTTTTTTTTTTTTTTTTTTAAGAAAAATATCTAGAACGATTTTAATTCCCAAACACATCTTTAGGCAAATGCCTGAAATCATCTTAGGGAGTCCTAACTTTTTCGAACAAAAAGAAACATACTATTGTAGTAAAAACCTTTGATAGCTAAAATGAAACGAAAATTTGAACTAACCTTTCACTACGTATATTCTGGGGCAATAAAAGTTCTATTGACGGAAATCATAATCCACTTATATAGGCATTAAAGCCGTGTACTGTGTATAAACTTATCCATCTTTGTTTCTCCTCAGCTTGGCATTTTCTCATAGTCAACAGTAACCCCCGTGCCATTCTCGCCTTTATTACAATATTCCCAGGTAAAATACAAGATTGGTTTAATTTTGTCTTTATTTTGCATGCAATTTTTAAAATGACGCTTTCTGTGAATTAGTTTATGCCAGATAGATATGTTTTATTCATTATCTATAAAGATTGTCTATGAAACAGATAAATCTATTTTCGCCAAATAGGTATAAAAACTAGTTCATTTCATGTTTTAAAAAAACAACAAAGTGGAATTCAAAGGATGTGTAAAAATTGTTCCAAGAGCCTATTATGGGCTTGGAAATAACTTATTTTCATGTTGTTTACAATAATGCAATTGATTGAAATTTTAACGGGCTCACCTTTGTTAGTAAAAAAGTTTACTTTTATCTTCGCATTTTTTATATTTTAATGTTATCCTTATTTGCATCTTTGTACAGGAATAATCCAGAATCTGAATCTTTCATGTTATCAATAGTTTTATTTTTTTTCCTTCTTCAATTTTATCATAACCTTTTATAAGATACTGATTAAGGATGTCATTATCTTGTTTTTTTTTATCTTTTTTCTGTTTCAACATGTTTGATTTTTTTCAATTCTTTACTGTTTTTTGTCTTTAAGCCCCCAATGCACCCACTGGTGTAATAGTTTTGTTAGATTTTTTATCATTATGTTCAATTTCTTTTAATCTTGCAAATGGCTGATAACCGTGATAAAGACATTTTCGTTTTTGTTTCAACTCGGCCTTGTTTTAGAGTCTACCTTTGGTAAATTCTTAATTTCTTGTACTAAAACATCACCTTTGGCATTATAATGTAGCTGTTACCTCTTCCAAACGCGTATCATTGAGGAATCTTTATCGGGAACGCGTTACTTCAGCATATAGGCTTAATTTCGTCTTTTCCATTTTTTAACAAAATTATCATCGTGTCATTGTCATCACCTACCGCATCTTCATCTTTCATCATTGTCGATCTTCTCCCATTCGTCAAGGACAGTCCAATGCGCCATTTTTATCATCAAAATCTCTATACTTAGCCTGCTCTTCTATTTTCTTCTTCTTATTTCCTCCGTATCTTCTACATCGTTCTCACCTTTACCATCCGTTTCAAATTCTTCGTTATTATTCTCTTCATTATCATATAATTCAGCATTGTCTTGTACAGCTTTTTCTGAATCTTCATCTCTAACTTGAAATTTAAACAACCCGTCATGTTTGTTAAAACCTCTTTCTCCGATATTATCCATTTGAAAGTTTACATTATGTTCATTTTGGTCTTGTTCCCACTTGAAATTATCATTGTTTTCCATTTGAGCGTGTACATTTCCTCCGGTATCCTTATTTTCAATGTCATTTACGTCCTCGTTGTCATTAAAATGAGCTTGTCCCCTTTCTAAATCTTCTCCGTCGCCTTCCTCTTCTTCACCATCTTCAGCATTATCGTTGTCTTCTTCATTTTCATTTCCTTTCCCTTCTATAACATGTGCAGGGAAACCTTGTTCTTCGTCACTTCCTTCTTCGACATCTTTTTCTCCTTTATTTTCGCTTTCTTCTTCATTCACTACACTGTCATTATTCTCTCCATCCTCTTCATTTTTTCCTTTGTCTTTTTCAGTATCACCTCCTTCTAGTATTTCAGGTGTTGTATCTTCTCTATTAAAAGCATTTTTGTTCCAATTTTTCGACCAGTTCCCAACATTTTGAATGGGTTCATCTGTAACATCATACTCATTGGATATGTAAAAGCCATCTTGTGTATACAAGTCTCCATCTGATCGTCTACTCTTTGCCCCATTCTTTACAACAATGTATGTGATACAAATCCATGTGCACATACAACCTGCAGCAAGAATGTAAAACAGTTGCCTAGACAAACGAAATGGCATGCCGTTTCTAGGTCTTTACACTGTATCATCAGCGAAAGATACGGTCTATTTTCATACTTAAATCTCATTTTATGGGAATGATCTTTTTCTTGACTTAATTGATAAGGTCATACAAAAGAAATGTTTGATGTTCGTCTTTTTTAAGCTATAAAATGCATGTATGGCAAATTCAGTACCATCGTTTTCTTAATTGGAGAACTTTTATTAATTTTGATTAATAGCGACTCGGAAAACAAACGTATATAACCGCCATATAACCTGTCAATAATTTTTATAACCAATAATATAGATGCCGCAATGTTACAATGAATAATCGACGTTACAAACATAGTTATTTAATAAATATATATCTATGGTAGCTTTGCAGACACTCGCAAATGAGTGAATCTGTGAAAAATAGTGAGAAACAGCAACAGATTTTTTCATATACATAAATATATATATATATATATAAACCACATTTACACGATATGTCGACAAAACTTCTGGTCATGTAAAATGGAGCATTTTCAACGATCAAACTCGCAACAATGGTCATTGAATAGTTCAGTAAAGTGATAAAATTAACAGAGAATTGTTAGTAACAAGATATGTTTCAATAATGACGACTATTATTTAACAAGATTGAAATAAAAAATTTGAACGATTATTGACTTGTCCATCACAAAATATATCTAAAACCAATTCAATTATTCAGTGAATTTCTTCTTTTAATGCATCAGATTCCTATGTTTACTAATTTTTTACAATTGGGGGCAAAGTACGTATGACTATTTGTGAAATTGATCACATATTTAACATAAGTGAAGAAAAAGTACATTTTTTAAAAAGTTCCCACAATAACTCCTTATTTCATTTATCATATAAACGCAAGAAACAAATCTAATATAACCAAATTCAGATATACATGTACATGTAGTAACATACCGAAATCCTTGTTGTTGAGACAGCATCATTTACATTCCCCAAATAGAAAAAAAACATAGTTGGTTTAAACGTATTTATTCAACAAAACATTTAATAAGTGAACAATAAGTACATTTTGGATTGGGCAGAAAGCTATAAAGATTATGAGTGTCCTCTTCAATAGTTATGTCTACAAAACATGCTAACATTTGAACGCAGTTAAAATATATCTTTTCAGTCTTAGTGTTGGGTATAAAACATATATTTTCCCTGCCCGGCCTTATACAACACATATGCCGACTTCATAATCCGATTAAGCATTTATATTATAATAAGACTATCATGTATTCCATACAATATAATTGTTTACAATAGCAACATATTGCGTATTTATTGGTAATATCTCGTGCCCATGAATTGATTCTATTACCCATACTTCGTACATCAGATCCAGCTCGTCTTTTATCATTGCGAAGGATTTGGCGTAAATAAATCTATATTTGTCAAAATCATGGCGGGAAAATGCTTACAGACATGGGCAAAGAAATAATGCAAATTCAGAAATGCGCGGATAATATTTTTTCTCTCAATTATATTATAATTAGGGCCGTGGATTGTTAAATGTGGGTCGCTAGCTGCAAATAAAAAAAGCTTGTTTACTTATATTCTTGGTTTGACAATGGGGCATGTTACAATAACAGACATTTACATGTTAAAAAGGAAAAGTTATTTATTCTTGAAAAATAATCTTAAGTAGTAAAATCTCACTTTCTGGCGCAGATATCTCTAAAAGTATAAAGTTTTTCATAAATTTGTTTCAGTTATGATTTACTTTAATCTTGCGAAGTTTAAGAAAGTCTGTTCACTGGGCCAAATTCTTCTCCTCACAATAGGCAATTTCAGAAGCAAGTTCAATATAAAAACTCAGCAAGGCTCATTTTTAATTTACAAAGACATGATTTGAACATGTAAAAGAAATGTCAATTTATTAATGCACTGCACAAGTAGAAGTGTTTCAAGCAAATAAGAAATTGTTGTTTGATAGAATAAAAATTAGAATTTACTCTTTCTGTTTGCTATTATCTAGTTTTTTTTATCAGTGTAAAAGTTTGAAGCAAAAGTGAAGCAACCTTTGATTACACATTTATTTTTCCTTTCAAACAACAAAATTAAACAAAAATCATATATGATCACAATCATCACATCAATAGCATCTAAAGACATAATGATGCATAGAACAACTTTTATAGATCATTGTAATTAACATGCCTAAACTAAATATCAAATTAACACAAAAGTTGAAAACTGAATTATTTAAAGTCATAAACAAACTAGATTATCCTTAAATAGAATAATCATTGCATAAACATTTGAACAGTATTAAATGAACTATGGAACACTATTGGCATGCGAGCAGTTCCCGTACAGAAGCAGTACCCGTATTTTTCATTTAAACGCTCGATTTTTACCTGCATTCTTCAAAAATTCATTTCAAATCAAGCAGATACATAAACGAGACAAAATCTAAGTGTCAGTTTGGCAGTACGTATAAAAAGTCTCATTTTAAATCACTTTCACCTGTGCGTCGTCAAAACGTGACCTTGTTTTCTCTGGGGGATTCCGTCATTGCGCGCATGCGCAAAAATTCTTACACGTGAGGCTTGATAAAGGGTTTTCCACTAATACCACCTGTTTACAAATAAGTAGGCAATGTGATGAAAACTTGTTTAATTATCAGAATTTTGACCAATATTACAATATAAAATAATTTTATGCCTTTGATGCGTAAAATATCATGAATACAAGCATTCTTTTGCATGTGAATGCGTTGGGGTAACGGTAACCGGGGTAATAGATACCCGCGTTTAGTCTACGCTCTATTTCCTGAATTACATCTATTTATCTCTTAGATAATGGTCTGTTCAACAATTGTAAATGAAAAATAGGTCCGATATAATAAAACTGTGTAATTATAATGGGTTAGATTTATGTACGGGAACTACTTTCTCTTCATACAAAATAATGGATAATTTAGGTACCCCATATGAGGCCTCATAAGTAAGGGTTATTCTATGGTTAGAACATGATGGAATTTCCATGATTTGTGTGACGAGCCGAATATTGATGTGTAACATTCAAATTTTGGTGAGTGAGCGCAATAAAAAATAATGTTTAAGTAACTATGATTTTTGTACGGGAACTGCTCGCATGCCAGTACAAATATAAAGAAAACATCTACACTCAAATATAGTTGAAATAGTCATATTGAAAGAAAAAAACATTAAAGCATGACGGCTGAGAGAGAACACGTTTATATGAGTGTTCGCTTCAACTGTTCAATGAGAGAGAACACGTTTATAAATACGAGTGTTCGCTTCAACTGTTCAATTAGAGGGAACACGTTTATATGAGTGTTCGCTTCAACTGTTCAATGAGAGGGAACACATTTATACGAGTGTTCGCTTCAACTGTTCAATGAGAGAGAACACGTTTATACGAGTGTTCGCTTCAACTGTTCAATGAGAGAGAACACGTTTATACGAGTGTTCGCTTCAACTGTTCAATGAGAGAGAACACGTTTATACGAGTGTTCGCTATAACTGTTCAATGAGAGAGAACACATTTATACGAGTGTTCGCTTCAACTGTTCAGTGAGAGGGAAATATGGTTTATACATTTATTTATGTATATGAAAAAAAATATAGTGCTGTTTTTTTACTATGTTTCACATATTCACTCGTTACTTGCTACCTCAACAATAAAGTAAAGTATGTTAGGCAATATTTCACTGCAAAAGCGCAAACATATTAACTATTAAAAAGGGAAGTAACTTGAAATAAGTCACTATGTATATTGTGTCATATTTCTGTCACTTGGCATTCAAACTTTTTTTAAAACGTTGGAGTATTGTGCAATGTTCAAGGCAGCGAAAAAATACAAAAATAGATGCGATTTTGTTAAGTAGTTTTGTAAATGTCTTTTAAGTGCTTCAAATAAAATGCATAAGCCCCTTCAAAGACTTTCCTCAACTGTAACTGACTAAGTACAAAGTAGCTCTATCTCCGAATTACATTTTATCCGACAAGATTCGGCCGGTGAGCACTATTCAAACATTGCACCGACTGAATCAGTAGAAAATGAGGAAAACTTCACGTAAACCGTTAAAACGTTAGAGGAAAGTGCTGTCTTAACCTTATTAAGCACAAAACAGAAACACAGTTTTGCAATGGGCAAGGCTTACGATTGTTTATTATTTGAGCAGTGTGTACAAGTACATGTTATTGTAGAGGTTCGTTTTCATACATACAAAAATACATTATCATATGACAAACCATATAATTTATTTATTATCCTTCATCATACATGACGACTTGAACGACAATTACACAACCAGTTTTAAATAACTACAGACAGAGCAAGTTTACAAATATGATATATACATTACAAGACAGAATAATTAACAAATGCAAGTTATCTATAAAATGTATACATTGGACAGCACAATTATATGATTTGCCCCTAACTGAAAAGTATAGCACTGAATAAGAATTAATAGTTACAGTATACCTATATAGCTTGTTACAAACATTTTACCAACATAGATGATTGTATGACTGTTACATATTTTATATAAAATCTGTTTAATGTCTTATGTTTCCGATTTATCATAAATATTTACTGCAAAGCCATATACAACTAGCTGAAATACAATATTCGAATTTGAATAAAATTGTCCTTCACAATCGAAACCAAGCGTAGAACTGATTTCCTCGAGCATTTTTACCACCTAAAACCACATGACCAATCACTGGTTTATGTGTGAAATAACGTTGAGGCTGCAGAACTTAAAAGTATTACATAAACCTTTTCACATTACAAAATAGCTATCTTACTTTACTCTAATTTGATAATGTTAGCAGTTATATGATCTACCCGGAGAGTGCTAGGTCTTCCAAAAAAATGTACATGTATATGAAACATGCATTCCATAGCGTCGTTACAATTACTGGTGTTGATAATCTTTTCATGTGACTTTTTTAACATGTATTCTATCTATCTATTTATCTATTTTACTTCATTTCTTTACTGATACT